AAGACAACATTTTCATTGAAGGCCATCTTGGGTAAAAACCTCAAAACTCATGTATCTAATTTTCTTACAATAGACTTTTCTTGTCAGACAGTATCGTTTGCCAATCATGAATATGAAGCATATTATTTTTTAACGTTGTTTTAAAAATAGTTTAAATAACATTGTTCATTCTTAGAACCTAAATCCTGTATTCTTTCTGAATATAGCTTTACAATTTCTCTAGAATTTCTAGTTTAAAAATTATTAATCGAACTTGTAAAGGTACAAAAATGAAATTTGAACGGAGAAAATTCATGCTTCTTGTTACAATACTTCTTTACTGCACACGTATATCACCGATTTTTGTAAAACACGATCTAAAAGTGTTAAAGTATCGAGATAGAAATTTGTACTTACTTTCAATCGTCCCTATGGCCCGTGACAGACACCGTGGCAATTCTCTCCTTGAGGGTGCATATAATAGTTATATCGTATTTCATATTTAAATTCCATGGGGATTTGTGATAACAGCTTCTTCAGCATCGAGTTGAAAGCGAGACTGTTCTCTACAGAGTAATATAAGAATCAAGTGTTTTGGAAATATCATTCAGGAATTGACGAGTTCACTTTACAAGTTTGTTTTTCATAGAAATCGAGATTATTGCCTAAATTGCCTCGGTATTTATGACTGGAAATATTCATTATTGACAAATGGCTTGAAGCAAAATTAATCATTAGTATGATATTTTATAGAGAAGCTTTTGATCTTTTATTTTCGATACTTAAAATAATTTTCGTTTCAACTTTGAATAATTTTTGACGTGCTATAGTTTATTAAAACTTAATTTGTGGATCTCTAAAAATTCGACTGAACAATTCTTAAATAAAGGCCCACAAAATACTTGAACTCGTATACGGAAAAAATATAAATTTCTGGTTCTAACATTTTTTTTTAAATTTCTGCAGGCTCATTTAAAAAGCTGAGAAATGAATGAATAGTTAATATAATTACTTTTCAATTACCCGTTACTAGCAGATATAACTTTTATGTCATCATAGTAAATGATCCTTGAGATTACAAATATACGTTCGTAACAATACATGATGATAGTATCTATCAGCAGTAAATCTCATTAATACAAATAAAGGTAAGAAACATATGTAATCTCAAATTGTAAATAATATATCTTATATTAGATCAGTTATAAATGAACTTGACATAGGTTAACGCCTTAGGACACTAAAATAGATGAATGAATTAGAATTAGAATATAGAAAAAAAAGAATATAAAAGGTAGAATGAAGATCATGTTCATAATGAACATATGAATTTACAGAATATTATATGAAGATTTCTAATTATTGTTTATTTCACTTTAACAAAACATAGAGGAACAGCAAAATAACCTAAATCATTTACATAATGGATATAAAAATTGTAGCAAAAATCAAAGATTAAATTTTTCTGAAAGTCTATGTACAACATAAAATCAATACAAAAAAATATTATTATAATTATCGACAAAATAAATCCAAATGTTCAACTACGCAAATCGAAAAATTAATGAGGTGTTAAATAGAGAACACTCTACGTATGTAGTGACCATTGTATGTAACTGAATTGTTCATTTCCCTATCGATAGACATGAACTTAAGCATATACTTATAACTATTCCTTTCTTTTTTTATGCTTTCACTTTTTATTATACAATGATCTATGGATTTTTTGTACATTCATCACTGAATAATATACAAACAAAAAGATAAAAGTAAAATTATCAATAAAGATCGTTGATTATTATTTAACATTGAGCATGTCAGGAAAGGTCAATTATGATGTTATGCATTACAATCATTTCTCACGGTATCAAGAAAAATGGATAACATATGGACTATGAATGTGCTAGAAGGTGTTAATCGCCTGGAAATAAGTTAGATCATCAAACATTATAATGTCTTTTTCTTGCTGTGTTTAAAGTAACCCATTGATATTTATTTATATTATTTAAAATTCATTTATTTTCACATAAAAAAAAAGAAAATTAGTGACATATTGACTTTAATGAATAATCTTTTCTCAGTTTGCTACTTTCATCGATTTATTTCAAAAATCGCAACAATAACAAAACCTGAATTAATGTTAAGTTCATAACCATATGATGAAGAGCATATGTTCACGATACGCATTGAGTATTGTCTATGCATATACTTAATTCGCTTAATGTAATGATCACAAAGCTATTTGACTCTTACATTAATCTTATTTTGTTATGTATACTCAAGATGAAAATATGTCGAATAATAATAGATACAGACAAACGTACAAATAACTTAAAATATCGATCTCAGTAAAAAAGATAACTATTTGTGTTTATTCTTGTAAAGTTTGTTCTAATCAACATGAGAAAAAAAACACCTATCATCACTTCAGATTTTATGCTTCAATTTTTTTATAACTATCACTTATTGGTATTTTCTTTTGATTGAGATAAAAAATGATGTAATATGCTATAAAATAACCGTTTTCTCGTTCTTCTGATCTTCTATCATACTACACCAAAGTGTTAATACGTAACATTTTCTTCCTTTTTTTTACTACTACTTATTTTGACCATGGCTGCAGACATTTTAGATAAAAATGAAAACGCCTATGGACAACCATATCATAAAGTTCATCACTTTCAACAAAGTATATAGAAGCGTAAAAGGTTAACTTGGAAGAGAGTACTAATTATATTGTTCTCAGAATTGAGCCGAAGAATTTGATTAAGCTTGTGTCAATTGATTGTCATCATTGCCTTGACGATCAATATCTTTATGCGTGCACTTGTCATGATAACATCATTTCTTTTTAGTGATAATGATGATGATATTGCCTGTTTGATTTTTGTTTAGTTTATATTATGACTTTGCATGTCGACTTATTTCCTTTTATTTAGGGACTGCTTATTATGAGCCATACGTTTATGAACGAAAGAATGTAAACATCCTTCCAGTTATGATTATGATTATCTATTGCTAGCGGCATGTAAGAGAGAAACAACATTCAATATTCATGGCTGTAGCTATTTGATGAATGACGACACAAAGCGAAAAAGAATATATAGCACATTTATATAAGAATGATTATGCTATGTATTTCATTATTGAATAAAGACCTGCTTTTTCTGTTCAACATTAGCAGGTACCATTTTTTTCTTCCCTCTTTTGGGTACTATCGACAAATCTAAGAGACTTTTTCTCTGTTTCTTTTTTTCTTCTTCTTTCTCTCTGTATACATCGTGTTGATTGAGCATATGCATGACCTCGTTCTCTTTTTTTTTTCTCTGATACGATATACTAATAGAAGACAAAAGAAGGCAATGGATATTGATTATAAAACGGAACTCATTCGCATTAAATTTATTCTACTAAATAGTCGACATCCGTTTGACTGTTTGTACATTTACATTACGTAAACCTCTATTGACGATGATTGAACGACGTAGTAGTCTGTCTGTTCATTTTGAATGACGGTTTCAGTAGTAAGTAGTTCGAATATAGTAATTATACAGGTAAAAAAAAAGGATGATGACGATGATGAAAGCCAGGCAGGCAACATGTATATATGCCCTTCAGCACTATTGGCAATTGCAAACAAATGCATAAGGAAATGAAAAACATAGTTTATTGTTCAATATATGTACATATGTGTATATACACTTCTTGATCGCCTGGTTCCGCTTTCTTGCAATTGGCATTGGCAAGGACAGAAGGCAAGATATAAAATGATGACGGATCGCTTGGCAACATACGCACAAGCATTCTTTATCAATTCATTGCTGTTATGCCAAGGTCAATTGAGATGAGCCGACGACAATATGGTTAATTTCTTTTTTCTTTTGTTCTCTATCAGTAAACCTATATCAACAATTATTACGATTGACAACTAAAGCTTTAAACAAAACAAAATAATGATGTCCTCTGTCAGTTAGCTATTCAGCCGAGCACTCATTCATTCTCGATCTATTCTTCATATGTATCATGATCCCACCATTAGTTTCCTGTTTATATCATTCGCTTTTTTTCTTTAATTTTATTGTTCTCGTTACTGTTAGCACGGAGAATTCTCATTTTGTTTTTACGTAACTCAACAGTGTTAAATTGAGAAAAAAATCAATCAATCAAAATGATTAGAATAGAATGACGAATGGATAAAGATAGTAAAGAACTCAAATATCTGGTGACGATTTGATTGAGTGGACAAGCATTTCGATTTTTCTTTTCTTTTCTCATACTTTTTTCGGTGGTAGTTTATCGTAAAAAAACTGATAGATAGAAAAAGACAGACGGAGAGAAAGAGAGACAGAAAAGAAAACGCTATCGTCCTCATTAAGCACTTATACAACATATTTTTGAGTTGTATTGCGTAGGCTCGATCGCAAGAGAAAAAAAATACAATGGCATGTAGATGTTCAACAGTCTGTGCATGAATAGTTGCTATACATACATGGATTTATCGAACAAAAAAACGATTATCAAACATGTCACATTGGTAGAAATTAATTCATTTTCTTTCTTCGCTTTTTTCCCTTTCTTCTTTTGTTTTTTTCTTTTTGCATATATATTGAACTTATATACGCGTATAGTATGGCTTTGTTGATGAGAGTCTTACAAACATGTTTTGTTTTTAATGACATGTTACATATATATAGGCTTCCATATAGAGAATACTAAAGTTTGTCTTTGTCTAAACTATTATTGTCACACATGCACATATATTATGAGATGGATTGTCAAGGAAGTTCTTTCTCTTGCACAGATTACCATGATGATGTGATTGTTGATGTGATGTGTGTATGTCCTCTGTTCTTATAATTTATAGTAGGACAATGTTGTTCGATTATCTTAATGTGCCTACTCGTTTCTTTCAGTTATTCTCTTTCTCTTCTGTATTATAGCTAGTTTATGTAAACATTAAGTACTCTTAAGAGAAATACTACTCACATTGTCAATGATTTTATAGAGGTAGCTGTTGAACAATGTATGAAAACTCTAGTGAACCCTCTTATACGAATGTATCAACTCGTCCATGTCGTATACAATATGGTCGTTGGTCAGTTGATAGACCACCAATTTCGAAACAACTACCAGATGAATCTATTGCACAACATTCATCATCTTTTCATCTACCTTATTCACAACGAATTAAACGAACACTTACACCAAACTATGTAAACTACTATCCATCATCATCATCGTCGTCATCATCGCATTTATCAAATCATGAACGTCCGAAGTCAACAATTCTTTGTGATTCAACTTTAACAAACCATTCAACATTTCATGTTAATGATCTTCGTCGACGATATGAATCTAAAACTTTAGTTGGTATTGTTAAACCAATGGTTCATCAACGATCATACACTCAATTAAACAGTCCTAATGATGAAAGTAAAGTTCCAGATATGACAATGACAAATTCCAATCATCATAGTTCAGTTCGTTCATTATATCCACCACCAATACCAGCATCATCTGTTGTTTATCGTACACGCCCTACACCACCATCTCATAATAATACAAATGGTCAACCACCCATAGCACCCCGACGATATTCATCAATCAACACAAATAACCATGCATTATCTCATCGTTCATCAAGAACAACATCAACATCATCTTCGATTCTTGGTATGAATGAACTTTCATCAACAATATCACCAAATGAAAATGAACAACAAAATGATGATAATATGATTATTGTTGATGTTAAACGTATTGAAATGTTTTATAGTAGTGTTGGAACATTAGTTAAAGCAGCTCGTTCAGTAGCTCGTCTTTATATAACAACAACAAGACAATTAGCTAATTTTGAAGATTGGTCATGTCAACAATTTGGTGTTCCTGTTTGGATTTATAATACAGTTCGTATTTTTAGATTTCTTATTTATTCTTGATTCGTTTTCTTTTCTTACTGAAGGGAGCTAATTTAAAACGAACACGACAAGTACAATTAATGCTTGCACAACATGAAAGTTGTTTTGCTGTATGGTCAAGTTTAATATCTGATCAAGCTGAATTACGTTTACCGAAAGATAATTATATAACATGTTGGTTACCAGAATCAAATATGCTTGCAATATTTAAATTTGAACGTAATGATGCATGTCGATTATTTTTTCGACATTATTACGAAATATTAGAATATGAACGACGTATGAATTTAGCAAATCCACCTCCATTACCAGCTGATAATAATAATAATAATAATAATGATAATGATACTTCACAACAAAATAATAATAAAGAAATTCCACGCCGTTATTCACGTTTAAGAACAATATCAAATAAACAAGATAAAGAACAAGAACAACAACAATATGAATTACGTCGTTGTCGAAGTTTATCAAAAATTCGAACTGTTAAAAAATCGGATATATCAGGACCGATTAATTTTGAACATGTTAATCATATAAGTAATGGTTCTAATCAACAAAAATTACGACCATTATCAGGTTCAATAACACTTCGTTCATTACATGCTTCTATGTCACAATTACCTAATAATGGTACAATAATGGAACGATTTTTTAATCAAAATAAAAAACGTGCTTCAACTTCATTTGAACCACGAACAACAGCAGTTTAAAATAAGTGATTATTTTTTGTCAAATATCTTTTCTTTTGAACACATCTTTTAACTAAATCACAAGTTTTGTAAAACTTATTTTCTATTGTTAAGAAAAAAAAAATTTATATATAAAGTAAATTTTAGTTCTACATTGTAATTCATTTTATTTAATTTTATCGTTTTATTTAGAAGAATATTTGTTTTCTTCTATTGTAAACAAGTCATTGATGAAAATTTCTTTTTACACATGAATTTATTATCATTAAAGAGTATAGTATTCGAATAAAATGAAAGAATTTTTGTAATTTAACAATTATATCATACAATGTTGTTTTTTTTCAAAAAAAATATTCGTGTACTTTTGCATCAATAGTCATTAGAGTTGTGTTGAGTAGCTTCAGTTCGGTCAATTTCGATTTTCTAAATTTTGTCTTCTCATAAGTGTTTTATTTATTTTTGTTATGATAAAATAGCATTGCGCTATTTTTACTTGAAATTCATTCTTATATAATAAACAGTACATTCAAAGTAAGTACAGTTCAAACTTCTGTTTGGGTATGCATTAGTTTCTAAATGTTAGCGACGCAAGTATATTGAAATTTAACATGAAGATTGGCTGTTGTCTCTACGGATATTTCTTTATTTTTTAGAAACATTTATTAATTAGAAAAATTTATACGAAGAAAGTATTTCTGTAAACCAACAAATTGTAAAAAGAAATATCTATCGTTCAGCTGAATGGAAATAAAAGAACATTTGAAAAAAAAAACATCTTTAAGAAACAACAGATCAAATTACATACTTAAGACTACAGTATGTACCTAAGTCTGACCGATTCCAAGTTGATATACTTGAACTCCATAAATACCTAATAGTTGAATTTATATTGATTTTATTAACGTTGACCATTTCCTTGTCAATTTCATGCTCAATCTTTTTAAAGTTTCAAATCTGTCACGCATACAGTGATTAAAGAAATCGACCAAATGTCTACTTTTCTTCATAAATGTACCTGGCATAAAGAATGTAAATGATGATTTGGGTAGAGCAATTTGTTGGCAACAAAACTCTAGAGAAAACGAAGCCCTCACTGTTTTGCTATAATCTAGAGGAGGTAAACATTCAAAACCTCGGTTTTCAGTACTTGGAACACAAAAATCTAAGCTTATTTTGATTACACAGGATGATGGAGCAACTAATTATCTACGAAATGAGATATTTACGGACTTCCTACATCAATTTTTCGAAAATCACAGATGTGCTATTTGTTCCTTTTCTTCATAGAAAATGGCGAGAAAAAATTATTTTTGCACTATTCTTAAAATTGGCTGGAAAGCTCGGAGACATCTCATTTTTTAGATAATTATGTGTTTTATCACTCTTTGTATTAAAAGAGACTTCTGCTAAAAATCTAGGTTTTGAATTTTCTAGAGGTCTTGGATTTGACAGTACAATGAGAATTTCATTTTGCTTAATGTCTTGTGGGAAATAAATCTCTCTATTCAAACCACTATTAGGATTCTTGATTTCAATTAAAATTATGAAAAGATATCGACTTTAAACCTGTATGATCACTTTGTGAAGCCATTGTAAATGATAGTTGCTCTTTAAGATCATTTTCAATAGAAATGAACGCAAAAAATCAGATCGATGGCTATTCTAGCTTTTTAAACCATAGAATTGATCTTAGTAGATATTCAATGGATATGTACCGAGTCAGAAATGTTGCTGAAAAACATGTAGATTTTGTTTACGAAAAATTTATGAGATTTTTATTGTGAACTACTCTGAATAGACTATAATAAAATTCTCTTAAGTTTCTCGCAGAGAAACATCCTCATCAAGACCTTTCTCTCAGTGCACGTCTAGTTCAGAATTGTACTGACAACAGATAAAAACTATAGCCTTCGTGCACTTAATGTCCCCTGCAGAGTTACGAACTATTGACGAAGATTTTTCTTTCTGTTAATTTGAAGAAAATGAAGTACGTCATCGATGACATACATCCTTGAGTCTTTCCAAAATGTTCGCAGCAGGAAGAATACCGTTGTCCAAGGCATATGCATATGAGCAAAATCATTCATTAACAATGTGACTTTGCAAAGGTACAACACGTGTATCTCGAGATAATGAGCTTTCATAGAGCTAATTTCCATAGAGTACACATATGCTCAGTTATTCTATATACCCTGGAACAATTAGCCCTAGAAATCTTTATTCAGAGAAGTTATTAATAAAAAAACAAGGATTATCTATGTGAAGGTAAAAGAAAAAGACATTGGTTCTCACTTCTTATATTGTTGATTAAAAAGCTTCGAAATAAGACAGTGATTTTTGAAAACTAATTAGTACATGATGTAGACAACTCTTAAGGCTGCAAAATTTCTATTCGCAGGTTTTTTTTGTTTTCGAATATTCCTAGATTTTCAAAAAAGTCGATCTACTTTTCGTTAGCGATACGACATAGTACGAATATACGAATGAAAAAGTGCTCTTACAACCGAATGAGAACTTTAAAACCAATTCCAAGCAATATCAATCTTTTTTCAGAATCTCTGGATAATGGTAGGACAAAAATTTGTGCTTCAAAACTTGATAGAATCTCTAAAAAGTCAGTGCTAACGAGAAAGATTTTCTTTAGACTTTAATCTTATTGAAGATTTCATTGTAGATGTGGTTCGTGCTGTATAGTCTATCTTGAAGGTTTTGGATTTTTTTTTCTCCAATAGTTAGAGAGATATTCGCTAGTTGCTTTTTAATTAATTAGTTTTAATTAATAGGCAGCTGAAAGAATCAATGTCTTTACATGTATACACTAAAAAAACTTTTCAGAAAAATAATTCTTGTAAAGAAACACAGTCAAATGAAAATTGGTTATATATTGATCTGCTTGAAATGACTAATATATAGTTTGGAATCGCTTATGTAATGAGATTCTTAATAAAGGATTTTTTTCACATGAACAATCTTCTACTATTTTAAGTGCATAATTAACAATTATTGCAATTACTGCAGCAAAATTCATTAATACTAAAATAGAAAATTTCATGTAGTTTGCAATGTCTACAAATTTTGAAATCAGCTGTTTCTCTTTGATTTTTGATAAATCATATCATCATTGGAAAATCTTTGTCGTTTTAGTTTTACAATCAGATTAGATCTTTATCTTCGTTTATGAAACAGAAACCTATTCTTTGAAGGATATCTCTTCCGGTTTTTTGACCAAAAATTCCATTTCTAGCCGAGTATAAGAGATGATAGCCTCAAGTACCGTGTGCAATGAGAGATATCATTGAACCATAAATAGCTTACTGTCGCAGAGTTATACTGAATTTAAGAAACTTATTTTTCATAGGAATCATATTAAAATCTTTTGCATTGTCTTGGCGTAATGCATAACATTAATTTTCTGAATCCTAGTTGCTTACTCTAACTTTGTTCGATTAGGTTGATACTTTTACCACAGATACTTGGAAGTATTCTCCACACATAAAATCAGCCGCTTTCGACTTTTCTATCCGAATTTATAGGGTTCTGAAAGTGAACATTCTGATTTAGATACTGAGATCTTTATGTAGTTCTCTCATAAAAAAAAGCAAACCAGCTTAAGAATACTTCTGAGAGATCTTTAAAAAAATTCAGTCGGTTTTGATAAAGATTAATGGGAATCGTAACGGTCTGGGATACAGTTCTATGAAAACACTGGAGTTTTCTCGAAACAATCGTGTAAAGACACATTAAAATTTCTATTCTCGAATGCATGTTTTCTTATCTAATGTGCTTTACCTATGATAAAAATTTGAATCTGATCGGTTGTATTCTCTTCACAAATCAGAAATATTCAAAAGAAGGAGGGTGTGGGATACTCTTTATATAAATATTTGTATCAGAATTGATGTGACGAATTTTTTGATAAGTCTTGTAAGTTATTCTTGAACAGTTCTTATTCATATTAATCATATTATGTGTCAACTCTAAATTGAAAAATTGAAAAAACTATTTTTCAGTTGAAAATAACCTTTTTTTCTTAATTATTCTTCGATTACAACATATTAAATATTGTCGAATGACGCCATCTGTCAAGCTTTTGTATCTATGGGTAGACGACTGAGTTCAATCAATAGTGATGAAGAAGAAAGTAGTAGGCTGAGATAAGTTGTTACATACCAATTCACTTTATTCACTATCAATAGTGTCAGTATGATTGATAACATGTTCGATGAACACTTTCGATAATGAATAATGTGAATTTGCGTATATTTCATCACAATCAAATACGTGACAGATAGGTATTATCAAATAAACATGGTTTTTTCTTTGCTTACTCTTACCTCTAACTTTGATATGTTTTTTTTTTGTACTCTTTTAATCAGATTGAATTGACATATAGATTGATTTCGTGTTAAACATTCTTCAGATACAAATTTGTTTTTATTAATTAGTTATTTTTTAGATTTGAGACAATATTTTTGAATAATTTGCACATCTATGAATATGATTTATATATATAATTGATCGTATGTTTATTTTTTTTTCAGATGTTCTTATGATCAGAAATATTAGTATGCAAAAATAATGAAAGTATATTATTATAAACAATTCTTTAGGTAACTATTCTTATTTTTATGATTGTCTAGTACGTATTGATGAATTAATATTATATTTCTAATGAACTGATTTTGAGTTAATTGATTTTTTGATGAATCATTTTAATGTACAATGTCCATATAAGTTATATCTTTGTCAAACATACTAATATATAATATTCGATCAACCTATTTTCTATTGATTCATCTTAAGTGATGGTCAAATATCGAAATGAACGAGAACAAGTTCAGTACAAAAGCAATTATGTCCCTGACTTCATCCGTACATAGCTCCATCATGTCGACATTTCTTCATTTTTACTATTTCTCGTTTATTGTATTCATCTGTAATCAACACCGACAAGCTGTTACTCTTTCTCTTGTTCTTTCTTTTATTTATGAAAGGCCATTGGCGTTCAATGTTATGCCTGC